TATATATATATATATGTGTATATATATATATATATATATATATATATTAGTCATAGGGGTGGAAGAGTGTAGTTTGATTATATGTTACAAGGGCTTGCCGTACAGGTCCACAATGAACGTAAATGGGTAGCGGTCCGCGGTGACGTCACTCTCCGCTGCTTTTTCGTCTGCGGGCCGCACTTTGATCGGGAGGGGACGGATTTTTCCTCAAAAATCACCGACAACTTTCCCCCACAGAGTTATAACAGAGCCTCTGCTGCCGCCGGATTAACAGCAACGATGGGCAACTGTCAAGTAGGTGCTTTATTTAGCCTTTTGACTGTCTGAAAACCTCTTCTTCAAACCGCAGTCAAACATTTAAGGTTCAGTTTTCGGACGCGCCTAGTTTGGGCTCGGTCGTCAGAACCTTATTTCATTAAGTGTTTTTGGTCGCACGTGATTTAGATTCACGTTAAGTGATGTCTCTTTAAGATTTGACCGCGTCATGGCGGTGAAACAAGTTCTTATTTATTCAGAGGGAGAAAGGGCCTCTGCGGATCCATCCCTGCTCCTTTAATCCAATCGTGTAGTTTAATCAGGAAACAAATAAAATCAAATAACAAGCTAATGAGGCTGAAGCTTTTCCTTCAGAGTCAAAACTGTAAAGCAAAATAAAAGTAATTTGTCTTTGCCGTAAAATAAAAACTTAATTTAGACTGTTAAACTGTGCTTTTATGACATTCATGTGTGACCCTTCACCAAGTTTAAGGTTATTCAACCATGATTTTCTTTATCAAACCCCTCCATATCTGCCAGCTGCACCATCAGTCATCTGAAATGATCATCTGAAATATAATCTGTATCTCTCCACAGCCTACAGTGTTTCCCTATGAGGATTTTGATGTGGTTGCAGACATCAAGGCCATCCGCAAAGCCTGCAAAGGGTTAGGTAGGTTGGACATGATACAAACACGATAAAATGTTCTTGAACTTGTTTTTTTATTTTGGGTGTTTTGTGACGTGGTCGTCTTGTTCTCAGGGACTGACGAGCAGGCCATCATGGACATCCTGGCAAACCGCAGCTCTTCGCAGCGTCAGGATATCAAAGCAGCTTATTTTGAAAAGTATGATGATGTGAGTGTCGGATCTTCACCTGAGCTTATTGTTCCGCTTCTTTCTGGCTTTAGAAATGAAATCTTTGATTTCTGTGTAACAGGAGCTGGTGGATGTGTTGAAGAAGGAACTGTCGGGGAACTTCGAGAACGCCATCCTCGCCTTGCTCGACCCGCCAGTCGTCTACGCCGTGAAGGAGCTCAGGAAGGCCATGAAAGGACCAGGAACTGATGAGGACGTCCTGGTTGAAATCCTTTGCACAGCCACCAACGATGTGAGCGCCACATTCTGTCTTTACAAAACTACAATCAAGAGATTATCATGTAGAGACGTCTAAGTTTATCTTTGTCAACAGGACATTGCTATGTTCAAGGAATGCTACTTTCAGGGTAAGTACATGTTTATTCATCAGACTGATGAAATATTCACGTGTTCAAAGTTACTACTGTAAATATGAGGATTTCCTGTCACTGTATTTGGAACTCTTTGAGGAAATGAGTATGGGTGACTCATTTTGGTTGACTTGAACCTCGTACGATCCTTCTCTTGTTCCTTGTGTAATTCAGGGTCACACTTTGTTTAGTCAAGGCCCATCCTGCTCCAGCTTCCCCTTCTTAATCAAACGAGTACAGACAGCTGATTATGTTGTCGTTTTACGATTTAATACTTAAACTTTTGTTCCTGTTGCGTCATGTTTTATTCTCTAAAATATTTACTTTACTGTACTTTATCTTTAAACCACTATTTACATTCAGTAAACTTAAGTCAGGTCGTCTGGACGGTTTCCTTGTGTTGAAACGTTTTGTCTCTCATCCAAGAGACTTCTTCAGTCTGAGGAGCCACAACAAACTCAGTCCCATAAGCAGCACACTCACATAGTGGGCCAACCAGTTTAGTGGTGATGAGCTGTTTTCTGGAGTCCGCCCTCTCCCCCACCGACTCGTCTGAGGCAGCAGAGTCGAGAGCGGACTGAAGAAGATGAGAGATGAAATGTTTCAACACATAGGAACCGTCCAGAGACCCTGACTTATTGTTGGATTTATTACCTGGATTATTAAGCATGAACTTTGACACTACAGTAGTCCCTCGTTACTTTGCGGTTCGTTTTTCGTGGACTCGCTCTATCGCGGTTTTTCAAAATAAGATTGGACATGACACACACTTGGCTGATTGATGGATGAGCCGCACGATCGGCATGGAATTTTTATTTTAAATTTTTTTTTTTTATTATATAGCACCTGCTGCACCTGTGTGCAGCCCAGAGCTGCAGGATAAGCTTCCTCTTGCAGCTGATCAGCTGTTCTCGGGCAGAGGGGAGAAATGGGCATGGCCAATAACACTTGCAGGTGCCTGAGAGCAGCAGAGGCAGAGAAAGGGAAATCATGACATGTGCTCTTTTAGAGCGTTTAGAGTTTAGAAACATTGTTTAGAATATTGCAAGAGTGTGGGAAGGGTTTAAAATGCCTTTCTTATGTATGTATGTACTGTATGTATATATATATATATAATTACTACTTACTACATGTACTTAGGCCTGTCACGATAACAAATTTTGCTGGGCGATTGTCTCAGAAGTTATTGCGATAAACAATAATATTGTTTGAAATTTGACAATAATTTGTACTTATTGTCAAATTTAAGAAGAAATGTTTAATTTGTTTTGCATGTAGTACATTTTTCAACCACCGGATGGCAGTATAAGACCCTTTGAACCGAAAGATGGACAGTGAGGGAGTGAGCAGCATATCTCTTTAAGAAAAATGGGAGGGAGGTTCTTTGACGTGACATGGACTGTCTCTCTTCTGTTCTCAAAATGCGGACACTCGATGTGGTTTGAGCCTATGTTACCCTGTAACTTTAAACACCTCTAGATAACGTGCCATGCTGGGTGCTCATCTCATCTGTTATTTTTGTCGGGGGGGACGGGATGAGACACATCTGATCTGTGCATTGTTTGTACCGAGTTTTCAAGTTGGGTGGGTGGGTGGGGGGTGGGGTTCAGCATGAGGGAAGAGGCAGCGTACGCGCTGCCCATAGCTTTTTAGCTAGTGCGCCTGTATTGTGTGCTGCTAGCTTAGCACAATGTCAGTTCTGACGGGTGGGGGGGAGGCGCGCGCAGTTCGGTTCTGTTGACAGGGCGGGGCGTCCCACTTGTATAATGGTAGGGGAAACACTGAGTTGTCTTATGCTTATTATACAGTTCTCATTTTGCTTTGAGGTTTCTTTAATGATATCAAATGTTACAGTGAATACTTCTATGGTTTGATTCGGCTCAAGCCAAATAAATTTATACAATTTATCAGTTTTTATTCTGGAATTTTATCCAGTTAGTGCTAAAGTTTAATTAGCACTCAGCCAGTCTGGGCCATGTTTATTGGCCTACAGCACCCAGATGTAAGGAGAAGAAGAAATGTCATTTACCGACCGAGTTAGTTTCCATTTTATTCCAGATAAATCATTTCGGCTGCTTTATCATTGATCTTTTGTTGCTGCTGTTGTGTAAACAGCTGACATTCATATCTGAGTGTGGATTCAGATCTCAGAAGAGTAGGTTCATGTGCTAAAAGGTCCAGCTGGCAAATAGTTATCATTCAATAAGGCTTTTTAAAAAAGAAAAGAAAACTTATTAAACAGTTAAATACCTGAATGCTCTAAAAGCTTAAAACTTGATGCCATTATATGATCTGTTTTATGAGCTGATGTAAATAGTAGCCCGTATGTCTTATCATGTTTTGACTTTACTTTCACAGTTCATGAACGTGATCTGGAAGCTGATATAGAAGGCGATACGAGTGGGGACGTTAGAAACCTTCTCACAGCTCTGCTGCAGGCAAGTATCTCTGAGTTTCCACTCTGCTCGTGTAACTAGACTCCTCCCATCTGTCCCGGCGCTGAAACTGAGCTCACTCTCCCTGAACCCCATCATAAGATTTAAACACACGCTGTCTGGATGCTGTCCAGACACCCTGCCATTAGGAAAAGCTCCAGATGATTCAATCAGACAGAGCTCCTCTTCTTACAGGGAAACAGAGATGAAAGTTACGAGGTGGACGAGGACCTGGCGGAGCAAGATGCAACTGCCCTGTTTGAGGTCTCCTTTTAAATCCATCCTCTTGATATCCTTCCTGTCATGTTAATTAACACTAAGATGTAGTAACATTTGTGTGTCTCATGCAGGCTGGTGAGGGTCGCTTTGGGACGGATGAATCCACCTTCAGCTACATCCTGGCCACTAAAAATTACCTGCAGCTCCAGGTCATCTTTAAGATATACGAGCAGGTATGTCAGTCCATTAAAGGCTGAGTGTCAGTTTACAGAACATTCCACGTCCCTTCAGTTTGTTTCTAACTTTACTTTATATTAAATCAGTGGTCAGATTGTGTTGACATCATTCTGGTGCTCAATCAGAGGTATTTTCTACTTGTAGCTTTCTGGAACTGAAATCCTGGATGCTATTGAGAACGAAACAGCTGGGACACTGAAAAAATGCTACACTGCACTTGGTAAGTGGAATATCTGAGGTTTTTATGTATTCAATAAAGTTAGATGAGCTCGCAGTATGATCTGAGTAAACAATGTTTTGTAGAAAACGTCACAGGTTAGAAATGTTCCAGGGTTTGTACTTGAGCACCGTACTGCAGCGAGACTTGAACTTGGTCTTTTCTATCCGACAGTGAGAGTCGCTAAAAACCCGCAGCTGTACTTCGCCAGGCGTCTGAACGATGCCATGAAAGGAGCGGGAACCGACGAAGACACTCTGATCCGAATCATCGTGTGCCGCTCCGAGGTAACGTTACTGATGGAAGGTTGTTTATTCTTCAACTAACTCATTTTTGTTAGCATTCATCTAGTTGGTAAATAATAATTTCATTCTAATATTTCAGATATACAGTGAACTATTGTTCATCGACTCTGACTAATAAACTGAAGTTATCACTCATACCTAGAAATTATAACCCCTGATTATATAAACGGGCATTTTCAACAAGGTTAGGGAAAAATGTGTATTTTAAGTTTGAGTGAGAAAAAAAAAGTTGCTTCTTGAGCTGTTTTGCTAGAGTAAAGTCTTTACCTACTTTATGTAACATGTATGCACTAAATCAGTAAAATGGATTTCATATGATTATTTAAATTTTTTTTAATTTGGGATGGACACAGAAGAGAGAGACTGAATCTGATTTCTCTTGTTAGTTTACCTATGGCTCATAGCTATTACAACTTATTGTCATGCATATTACAGTTTACTAGATTACAAATATATACTTATAAAAATAGGCAAATATGTTATAGTTGATAATGGACAATGGACCGTACTTATACTCAAAACGCTTTACACTACAATCTGTGCCCTCATTTACCCTTTCATACAGCACTCTACTAGATCTATACAAAAAATAATCAGTGTTTTGTTTTATCACATTCATACACTGATGGGACACATCAGAAGCAATGAGGGGTTCACTGTCTTGCCCAGAGACACTTCAGCATGTGACTGTTGGAATCGAACCCCCAACTCTCCCATTGGAGGGCATCCGCTCTAATCTCTCAGACACAGCTGCCCCTAAAAAATTATCTATCCATCCATCCATTATCTTTACCCGCTTATTCCATTTTGGGTCACGGGGGTCGCTGGTGCCCATGTCCAGCAATCACTGTGAGAGGGGCGGGGTACACCCTGGACGTGTCGCAAGTCCATCACAGGGACACATAGAGACAAACGAGACAAACAACCATTCACTCTCTCACTCACACCTAAGGACAATTTAGAGTTACCAATCAGCCTAACATGCATGTTTTTGGTCTGTGGGAGGAAACCGGAGCACCCGGAGAAAACCCACGCATGCACGGAGAGAATATGCAAACTCCACCCAGAAAGGCCCCTGGACCGGGGTTTGAACCAAGGACCTGCTCGCTGAGAGGCAGCAGCTCTACCAGTTGCGCCCCCGTGCTGCCCCCCTAAAAAATTATAAATAGCCAAAGCTATAAAAAACCCCCCCACCTTTTTAATCTTTTTAGACATTTTTATTTTACCATTTTTCCTGGTAGATATGTTGTTCTATCAGAGTTAGGCATAAAGCTCTTGTCAGCTTTTTGAGGTCTGTAGCAAAAAAAGCTCCCGTGCCATGATGGTACCTTCATCCCAAAAAGCTCTGATTGACACATGGTGCAATGTGACTTGTAGCAACCCTGCTCTCCTTGTTGATTGGCTTATTATTCTCAGGCCTGGCCGTGACAGCTGTTCTTTTAATGTAAGTAATCAGCCTGAATAATTGGCTGACAGATCAATGTATTTACCTCTATGTATACTAAGTCAATGGTTCTTTATTTGTCATACGCACCACATGTGGTACATGTGATGGAACAAAATTGTATACACAGGGTCCCAGTCAATGTCCCCTCTAATTTTTCATGTGTCTGGGCAAATACACAAGTTCCCTGAGCGCACTGAGGACCACTATGAGCAACATCAGATGTGCACTCAGTGTTCACGCACCAGTATCACACCTGTTCCAAACCTGGGATCATAGCAAGTTAAATGGCTTATTAAAATAATCAAATTACAGCAGCAACTTCTATTCATTTACTTTTAATATAAGTGATTTGACCCACTTCAAATGAAAAAGACAATACTTTTGTTGTTCATGAGATGTGTAGTATGTTAAATGTGAGAGTCCTGCAAGGTTCTCCCCCCGAAAATTTTGAATAAAGTAAATGCCATTTCCTACATTCTGGTGTATTTTAACGGGTTGTTTAACATCGAGTTTTACCTAGACGAGTAACACTTGATTCAATAACTATTTTAGAGTTAATTGCACAATAAGACCTGCTTGACCGACAGCTCTCCTTGTGTGAAAAGAGCACGTTCCTCTTCTCTCACGTATCCTAGTCACAGTCTAAGAAACACAGTGTAGCCTAAGTTAAGTTTTATGGGGGGGGGGGAATCACTAGCCAATATGAAACGATAATAATAATAATCACTCCTTACTAATGTCCTAGTATAAAGCAATACGATCATCATCCATCGTCTGTATTAGTAACTTAAAATACTTAATTAAAACTCCAGTAGCAAGCTAGGTTTATTTTAATCTTACCCAGGTCCAAGGTCAAGAAGCAAACATAGCATTAACACAGTATGAAGAACATTCAGGAATTGTTTCTATAAGAACATCTTCAAATATTTTATGTGAACGGTAAGATTGCTCCACCAACGAGGAAGTGTAACCCAGGGTGAGTTAACCTCATACAAACAGATGGTCAAAGCAGATGGCCGCTTGTCCTGAGCCTGGTTCTGCTGGAGGTTTCTTCCTTTTAAAAGGGAGTTTTTCCTTTCCACTGTTGCCACTGTGCTTGCTCAGGATGGGAGACAGCAACGAAGCCAAGATTCAACTTGTCTGCTGGCCTCCTTAGATAGAGAACTTTACTAATTGGCTTTTATGTCTGTGAATGTTCCTGTAAAGTGCCCTGAGACAACTTTGTTGTGATATGGCACTATATAAATAAACTGAATTGAATTGAATTGAAACAAACAAACAAAGTTAGCTGAACTGTGGAGGTAGTGAAGCTCACGGCGTTTATTGTTACAGTGAGGAAAATAAGTATTTGAACACCCTGCGACTTTGCAAATTCTCCCACTTAGAAATCATGGAGGGGTCTGAAATTTTCATCTTAGGTGCATGTCCACTGTGAGAGACATAATCCAAAAAAATAAAAAATCCGGAAATCACAATGTAAGATTTTTTAATAATTTATTTGTGTGTTACTGCTGCAAATAAGTATTTGAACAATTTGCAAATAAGTATTTGCCGATCAGCAACAATTCTGGCCCTCAAAGACCTGTTAGTCCACCTCTAAAAAGTCCACCTCCACTCCACTTATTATTCTAAATTAGAAGCACCTGTTTGAGGTCGTTAGCTGCATAAAAACACCTGTCCACCCCACACAATCAGTAAGACTCCAACTACTAACATGGCTAAGACCAAAGAGCTGTCCAAAGGCACCAGAGACAAAATTGTAGACCTCCACAAGGCTGGAAAGGGCTACAGGGCAATTGCCAAGCAGCTTGGTGAAAAAAGATCAACTGTTGGAGCAATTATTAGAAAATGGAAGAAGCTAAACATGACTGTCAATCTCCCTTGGACTGGGATTCCATGCAAGATCTCACCTTGTAGTGTATCAATGATCCTAAGAAAGGGAAGGAGGTTGTTCCCCAAAATCTCCCAATACATGGCCCCGGTCATTCTCTCCTTAATACAGTCGTCCTGTCCCATGTGCAAAAAAACACCCCCAAAACATGATGCTTCCACCCCCATGCTTCACAGTAGGGATGGTGTTTTGGGGATGGTACTCCTCATTCTTCGTCCTCCAAACACGGCGAGTGGAATTAAGACCCTAAAGTTCTATTTTGGTCTCATCTGACCACATAACTTTCTCCCATGACTCCTCTGGATCATCCAAATTGCCATGGGCAAACTTAAGACGGGCCTGGACGTGTGCTGATTTAAGCAGGGGAACCTTCCGTGCCATGCATGATTTTAAACTATGGCGTCTTAGTGTATTACCCACAGTAACCTTGGAAACTGTGGTGCCAGCTCTCTTCAGGTCATTGACCAGCTCCTCCCATGTAGTTCTGGGCTGATTCCTCACCTCACTTAGAGCATTGAAGATGGGTCGTGGCTGGGTCTTCCAACATGACATTGACCCGAAGCACACAGCCAGGATAACCAAGGAGTGGCTCCGTAAGAAGCATATCAAGGTTCTGGAGTGGCCTAGCCAGTCTCCAGACCTAAACCCTATAGAAAGTCTTTGGAGGGAGCTCAAACTCTGTTTCTCAGCAACAGCCCAGAAACCTGGCTGATCTAGAGAAGATCTGTGTGGAGGAATGGGCCAAAATCCTGCAGTGTGTGCAAACCTGGTGAAAAACTACAGGAAACGTTTGACCTCTGTTCCCTGAGGTCAGCAGACCAGTTGCTCCTCACAGTTCCAGGAACTCGTCTTAAGCGCAGAGGGGATAGGGCCTTCTCTGTAGCAGGATCAAGACTTTAGAACGAGTTACCTCTGCTTGTCAGACAGGCCCCCTCCCTATCGGTTTTCAAGTCCCGTTTAAAAACCCACTACTATTCAGTAGCATTCAACACCAGATGATCTGTGTTTTGAACCTGTATGCTCCACACTGGTTAGTCGTCATTATCTGCATCGTTTTTATGTCTATATCTCTGAGTTACTTCATTTTGTATTTTGCTTTGTGTGTTACCTGTTGTTCTGTCTGTACAGCACTTTGGTTGGCCTTGTCACTGTTTTAAGTGCTCTATAAATAAAATGGTATAGTATGGTAACTGCAAACAAAGGCTACTGTACCAAATATTAACATTGATTTTCACAGGTGTTCAAATACTTATTTGCAGCAGTAACATACAAATAAATTATTTTAAAAATCATACATTGTGATTTCCAGATTTTTTTTTTTAGATTTTGTCTCTCACAGTGGACATGCACCTAAGATGAAAATTTCAGACCCTTCCATGATTTCTACGTGGGAGAACTTGCAAAGTCGCAGGGTGTTCAAATACTTATTTTCCTTACTGTATTTATTGTTTATTGCATTATTATTTAGTGAGGCATTTATTTCTTATCGACCAACATTAAGGCAAAGAAGACAGAAAAAATGTCAGCTACTAATAATGACTTAGTTATAGTTACAGCAGTGGGTGTTTTCATGCTGCAGGTCAGCACAGGGCAAGAACTCGCAGTGAAATTCAGTATGTAAGAGTAAATTTTACATTACACAACTTATTAAACTTCTTCTTTCGATTTTTTCCCTTTTCAGGGGTCACCACAGCGAGTCATCCTCCTCCATCTCACTCTGTCCTCTGCTCACTCAAACTACCTCCCTGTCCCCTCTAACTGCATCCATATAGCTCCGCTTTGGCTTTCCTCTGTCTTTTTCCTGGCAGCTGCATTTCTACTTTTACCTTCTCCTTCATCCTTTTACCCACTGTCCCTCCTCTGGACATGTCCAAATCACTGTCCCTCTTCTAGACATGTCCAAACCACTGTCCCTCTTCTAGACATGTCCAAACCATTTCATTCTGGTCTCTCTAACATTATCTCCCAGTTGTTCAACCTGTGCTGCACCTCTGATGATCTCATTCCTAATCTTATCCATCCTTGTCACTCCTAATAACCTCAACATCTTCATTTTTGCCACTTCCAGTTCTTTCTCCTGTCTTTTTGTCAATGCCACTGTCTCCAAACCATACAACATAGCTGGTCTCACCACTGTTTGTAAACCTTTTCTTTGACCATCCAGATTTACACCGAACACTACTGTTTGCTAACCCTTAGCATGATAAAAATGGCTACAAGTCGTGGGATGAGCTTACTTACCACCTTTGTTTGACGTTGTACGACCGTAAACTTCTGTGGTAAATCCACAACACCAAATATTATTCCTCCGTATGTGATTGAAATATGCAGTAGCAAAGCTTGGAAAAGAGCTAGAAGTAACGGTCGCTTGTAGCTATGTAGCTTCTTTGAACACAGCGCTGCTGAAACTCCAGAAGACGCTAATTGGCTGGATACACATCACGTGACAATTCACGTGACACAGCTCTGTTTTGACTGGAGGCGGGGTTTCCATCCCCCACTTTGCACGCATCAGGCGCTGTACTATAGACAGCTGTGCTTGGTTCTCGCAGTTTATTATAAAACGGGAGATAACCTTGTGGCCAGTTCGCAACTGTGCAGCATCGATTTTCTTGTGCGCAGAGAATGTATGAGCAGTGTGTGATTGCGCTGGTACATAGCTTAGCAGGAACATTGGTCCCAGTTACATCCAACAAAAGTGTAAAATGTAAAAGAAAAACTGTAATAAGCTCTAAGATATGAACTAAGAAAAAGTTTAACTAAAAATACGCTAAGCACTAGTAGTACAAAAACAATACGCACGAATATGAGTCTGTGTAAGCAGATGAGTTGAATGAACACAGCAATATGAAACAGATCAGCAGCAACATGAAACAGATCAGCAGCAACATGAAACGGATCAGCAGCAACATGTTGTGATTCTTCACAGTGATTATCCTGGTTAGGGAGTCTTAACAGCTTCAGGGTAGAAGCTGTTCCTCAGTCTAGTGGTTCTACACTTAATGCTCCTCAACCTCCTTCCTGAGGGGAGTGGGGCAAAAAGTGTGTGTGCTGGGTGAGTGGGGTCCTTCATGATGCAGGTGGCCCTCCTCCTACATCTGGAGGTGTAGATGTTTGTGACGGTGGGGAAAAAGCTGACTCCAACAGACTTCTGTGCAGCCTTCACCACTCTCTGCAAAGCTTCCTCAACCCCCCCCCCCCCCCCACACACACACACACACACACACACTTTTGTTCACACATTTCTGTTCAAAGACAGACCAAGGATGCTCAGTACCATTGATTGTTTTAAGAATGCATATATTCAAAACCCACAAAGCAGTTTGGTGGCTGATATTAAGTGGCTGCATTCTTATTTGTTTCCTCCCAGTTCGACTTGGAGACCATCAAAGACATGTACCTGGAAAAGTACGACGTGTCTCTGAAGGACGCCATACGGGACGAGTGCAGCGGTGACTTCAAGCGTCTCCTGCTGGCTCTCTGCCACTAGAAGCTGGAGAAGGTTTCTGTCTAACTAACTAACTACACTCAGTCCCCTTAAGGCATTATGTGGGCAGCAAGAGGGGGCTGACGTGATGAGTAAATTACATGTTCCATGTGTAGCTCATTTTTTATGCATTATAAAGGCTAAAGTGTATGAAACTCGTCAAAGTTTTAATCCTAATTCTGATAGGCTTCACCAGCGTTTATTAAGATCATAGATCTCTTTACTTTAGGAAAAGCACCAAGATTTCTTTGTTCCAGCTAACCAAAATACACTGTTTTAATGGGTGATGTGATCAAATGATTTAAAGCTTTATAAGATAAAATTATAAATGTCAGCCATGTTTTATCCTCCGTATGTCCTCACTACATTTATCCATCTGTTACAATATCTTGATAAAGAACAGTTACTTTTTAAAAAATAATTCATTATTAGCATTTTCACCCCCTGCGCCACAATCTCCTGTTACCCTACACTGCTGCTACGATTCATGCAATCACTCCATTTGCCTTGAAGTCTCTGTGCTTTAATGAAGAAATGTCAACATTTGTATTGAAGAACAGTTAATGAAGGAGTATTACGAAGAATATGCAATGAATTTACTTCCTGAAGTGTTTTCACAAACGATTCCTGAGAGTTTATATTTTTATCAGTTGTAGAAAGATTGATTTATATTATGTTTTATGGTTTTATCCTGCTCATCCAGAATGCTTTGACAAATCCATCTACACCTTACCTTATATACTTATTTTGTATTTTATTACTAACCGAGGACAAAGTTAATATATAACATTGTAGGGCTGGTGTATTAAGCGGCCCAGAGGTTATGTGTGAAAAGAAAACATGAATATATTCAGGTGATTCCAACATTTACCACCTTGATAATCTGATGTCTTTTTCATTTCTGTATCTTTTTATGGCAGCTTAGATTTTTTATGACTGACCACTTTTTCAACGAGCCGAACAGATACTCAAGTGATGTCACTAACCTGGACAACAGTTGTTTTCCTCTCACTAGCCAAATTATTTTAACCCAACTACAAATAAAGTTTACTGTAGCATCAGTTTTTGTGTTTTTTTTATTCATTTCCTGATGATAAGATGTGTTTACACATAAATCAGTACATTTATTTAATAGTTTTTTACTGGGAGCATGGTATGTCATTTTCTTTATAAACCTCCTCCCACAGAAAAACTACATTTCTTTTTTTTTAATTGAGCCTTCTGGAGGTGATAAGATGTAACAGTGGATTTACCAGTGAAAGAAAGTGTCACTTTAAATCATGGATGAACAGTCAAAGTCATCTTAGGTAAAATCTTAAACTGCTGTCAGCATGAATATGCAGTTGACACATCCAGTAGTCTCTTGATTATCGCGGGGGTTTCTTTACAACCCCCACACCCCAGGGCCAGATTAATACTTCACTGTACCCTGGGCAACAATCTTCAAGGGCCCCATCATCACGACCCCAGAATCACCATAATCTGGCAAAATACAGAATAAATGACCATAATATACAGTAAATATACTTCAAAATTCTAACTATCAAGTGTATTTTTATGTATAAAACTCCAAATGCTCATTGACACAAATCATCAAGACTGAATTAAGTTGAACACACTTTGAACACCACGTGACACCATATGTGTACTTGTTTAGTAACGTGTTGGCCACTGGTGTCTGAAGCTTTTATAATGTGTGTGTGGGTGGGACACACTGATTTGGGGGGGGGGGTGTCTGGGAGTCCTCCCCCAGAAAATTTTGAATAAAGTAGATGCCATTTCCTGCATTCTGGTGTATTTTAATGGTTGTTTAACATTTAGTTTTACCTACATCAGTAAACACTTGGAACACCTTGGGATTCCCCTGGAGGAGCTGGTCCAAGTGGCTGAGGAGAGGGAATTTAGGCTGCTACCCCCACGGATGGATGGAAGTAAACACTTGTAACTTGTAACTGTTCAGTAACTATTTTAGAGCTAATCGCACAACAAGAAGTAACCTGACCAACAGCTGATTCAATGAATTAAAAACATATATTCAAAGGTGACGATTTGATGCCCAAATTAAAATTAAATGTCTGTAACTTAGTTGACTTAAAATGTAATAAGATTATCAATGAATAACAAAGTCCATGCTCAATAATCCAGGTATACAATCCCACATTTTTCAGTCAGGTCATCTGGAATTATTCATTATCAATGAATGTTTGTGACAAATAATTTACTGAGTATAACAAAGATTCCTTCAAGAAACCTAATGTAAATCATAAAACCAGAATGACTCCTGCTCATTCTAAATTTGTCAAATGGCCTAAATCACCAAGAGAAGGAGAATCATTTTAAAATAATCAATAAGATATATCCTGTAGCCATGTTTCTTGAAATAAGATTTAAATTTGATGTTGATTTGTGTGTCTTTTGCAAATCAGAAGATGAATCCCTCGAGCAATTTTTTTTTCATGTCAATACAAAGTGTTTGGTCAGACATCAGAAACTGGATTAATCTCAAACTCAACATTCCTTCTTTTCATGCTGATGTCAATTTACTTTATGTGGATAACTTAAGCTCAGCTTTCTCTGATGCATTAATGTAGTCATACTTATAGCAAAGTACCACATTCACTGTAGTAACACGAGGGAGAATAATTGGTGTTGGTATTGGTATTGGTATAAAGTTTATTCATTTTAAAAAAGTACAAAACAATTCCATAACAATATAAAAAAAGATACAAAAGATTTAAAATGAAAGGCAGCAGAAAGAAGAAAAAATCTTATTATATCTGCCCCTTTTTTTCAAACAATTATTTCAATCATAATAATTTTCAAGTAACAGAACAAAATGAATAACTTTCTAAATTTTCTAATTCTAATACAAAACACATACTAAGCTACTTCATATATATATATATTTTTTAACAATCCAGTTTTGATCTTTTTCTTAAATGTACACATTGACTTGGCATTTTTCACATCACTCTCTAGACCATTCCACAATCCAACTCCTTGGATTGAGGTAGACCTTCCCTTCAGACTAGTTCTGAATTTTTGTTTGACAAATATCTCTATCCCCTTAAGATTGTAACAACTTTGTCTTTTAACAAAATTTCTTTGGATATTTAATGGTAATGTGTTCTTTTGAGCCCTATACATAACTGATAAAATACTATAATTACCAAATCATGGAACTTCAATAACTTCAGTTGATAAAATAATGTGTTTGATGGGTGACTGTAATGCTTTCTGGTGATAATTCTTACAGCTCTTTTCTGTAAAATAAAAATAGGTTTTGTAAATGTTTTACATGCTTTCCCCCAAACATCAATGCATAGATTACATGTGGAACAATGATTGTGTTATACAACATGTACAGAGCTTTATCATTTAATAATTCCCTGACTTTGTATAGTACTGCAATAGATTTAGATATTTTTGTTCTTACAGAATTGATGTGATTTTTCCATGTTAGCTGTTCATCAATGATTACACCCAAAAATTTCATCTCATTAACTACAAATCTCAACACCCTCAATTTTAAATGGATCATCAACAGTTCTCTTTT